CCAGACCTGGGCAGTGGACAAATCTGCTGAGAAGCCTTTGCATGGACAGGTGGGTTCTTTAACCATCATTACATACCACAAAGGGATCAGAACAACAGCCTCTCAAACTAGCTGACTTATAAGGAGGGGTTTGCCTAAACCTGGTAGCAGGTACCTGCCTGGGCTAGGCTTTGTAAAAGCTCCAGAGAGATGATTTGTGTGCACAGCAGCCCCAACCTTCTGCTTCCCTGTTATGCTGCAGCTTTTTAGACCTCTGCAAATCAAGTGCCAAGAGGACTCAAAATATCCCAAGATCCAACTTCGACTATGTGGCCAGCATTTTGTGAGGGTTTAGGTAAGTGACTGGGTAGCAGAATGATTATATTGCTTTTGGTTATCCTGCCTCTGTTATAGGAAATGTAATTAATTTTCTGCAGTGCATCCTTGCAAAACAATAAAGGTCTAATATTTGTCATTTGTGTCACTTTGTTCTTGCCGAACGTCATGCACTTGGCTTCGGGAGGGGAAATGAAGGACCCGTGTCTTACCTTCCAGGGCGCTGGTGATGATGCTGACAGCGCTCACCGCCCGCTGCCTCTGGAATGGCTCGTCGGAGTGGTCCACGGACGGGCGGTGGGGCATCAGGAGCTGCCTCTTGCTCGCCTCGTCGGAGGGAGAGGTCTGTTTGGAACGAACACATTGGGTCAGCAGCATGAAAAAGGGTAGAGGAACCAAGCAAAAGACGTGGGGTACTGTTTTCAGAATTGCCTCAGCACCCTTTTTCTTGCCTGAGAAGTCACCGATTTCCCAACCAGGCGCAGGGCGCTGCTCCCAAAAACTTGCACTCTGAGTAATTCTGAAAACTTTGTGCCCGGTAGGAATATAGGGACTCTTCTGATACTGCAGAAACAGCAACGCTGCTCTACCATGCTCACTGCTCAAGAAAGATGCCCTGCTTAATTGCATTAATTATACCATTATTTCTGAGATGTGCTAACTGTTTAATTATACTACCAGATGAGCAAAAAGGGCTGTGGGTAAGAGCTCCATTACTAGCCTCCGATATCACACCAAGCAAACCATCTCCTCAACACATGGCTTCTCTTGGTCTGAAACACTGCCAGATCACAGGAACGCACTGTCATTTTGGTGATCTTTGGTCTCACAGCTCTGAAATTAGGGAAGAACCTCAGCTTTTTCTCTCTCACTCAAAAATAAAAATAAAAAAACCCTATCTCACATTTTTCAAGGAAAAGCTTAAAAAGAACTAATAAATTGAAGATCAGTAAAACAAAACTCCCAGCATAATTCCCAAATCGTATTTATATAACATTTCATTTTAAATCAGTTTATACTTTTCGAGGGCTTTTTAAAAAAAAAAAATCAGCCAAAACCATGGAATAAATGCAGACACCATACTGTAGTTAATATTTAATATCTCACAAGGGCAAGAAATTAAGATTTCTATTATATTACAAGCCTCTACTTCATACAGACAAATTCCAGGAGACAAGAGTGGTTGAGAAGTGATGAGCTGGGAAAGATGAGTTCAACTTCACGCTCCACCACAGACCTCCTGGGGAAGACACCTGCTTCCTATAACTAACGTTTGAACAGCCCTGTCCTGTGTCTGCAGGACCATGCAGGATGCGTAGGCTGGGACACTGGAGACATGCACTGCAGATAGATGAGTCGTGTGATATATCTCAGACCAATGTGCAAGAAGAAGTCTCTACAAGGGTGAAAATCCCAGGTTTATATGAGATTATATAGCTTTAGTTTCTCAACAGTCAGACCAGCACCTGGTGAAATCTTCTAGATCTTCACAGACCTTCAAGGGCTGAACTGATGCTAACTGGTCCAAGCAAGGCTCTGGACACCAACCTTTGTGGTCAGGGACCACTTGATCAACACATCTCTTCAAGAAGAGCAACTGCATTGCCAAACCCTCTGGAGCTCTATGACCTGCCTTTTTACCTCTCCAGGACTGGGGACATCCTTCTGTCGGGTGTTTGCATGGCAGCCAAAGTACTCCAGGCGAAAAAAAATATTGCGAGTCCAGAGAAGAGTGAAGAACTTTAAAACTATCACTTAAAACAGTAGCTAAGCCAGGAAACAAGTAATGCTCCAAAACAACTTTTCTTTTTCTTTTTTTTTTGAAAATGTTCTCTTTTGTTAAAACAATTGGATCAGTGTTCATTGAGTTTTTGACATAATCATAACAGAAGGAGACCTGTAATCAGAATCTATTCAAAGATAATTCTGCTTGTGCGCAATGTAAAAAGAATTCACTCTATCTTGGCTTCAGAGCTGGGGAAACTGGGAATGATATTTTAGATGCATGAGTTCACTTGATTTCCTTCACCTCAAAAAGGTCCGATAACAAACAAAGAAACAACAAATGTTTTATTAATGAAGAAAGCATTTACAAAATTGCATAATCGTCTGCACCAGTTTGGAGTAAATAGCAAATACATACAACTGAAAAAAAAACACCACAAAAGACAAAAAAGTACAAATTCCAAAGAAGAATAAAATAAAAAACAGAACCAAGAAAAATAAACCAATTTAAAAAAGAAAAAAAAAAACTCTTTCTCTATCTCCCTCTCTCTGCATAATGAAACATAAGAATATCACAAATTTCAAAATCCTCTGGATCACTCAAGTTTAACTCTTCTTAAACTGCACCATCTTGCCACCTCATCTGGTCCTAAGCCGGGCCATCCCAACAGCAATTCTTTATTCAACCTCATGCCCAGAAACCTCAGGTTTCTGATTGTGAAGAGAGATATTATATTCCTCTTAATGTGTAAAGAATATTCCTTGCAATGTGCTTTGAAAAAGCTACCAGCTGGGGGTTACTATTTGAAGGACACTTTTTGTTTATGGATGAAAAGAGAATTTACTCCAGAGGTACCAAGTTGTGTGGAAAACTTATTCTGAAATTCATTCTCCCTATCTTTGGACACAGCTAAACCAGGATATGTGAAAGTCTCAGGGAAACAGAACTGGCATCAAGAAAAATGAAAAAAAAGAGAGAGAGAATGGACCTTTTTCCCTAAGTACGGGGCAGTATTTCTAATTCATTAAGGGTTTTAAGTCACGCTGCTTTTCTTTCCAGCCTGTTATCCCCAACTGCCCTCTGAAAAATTGGGCACCGGGACCTCGGCATCCTGCCGTAGCCAAGGGCACTGTTTGCAGCGTGCCCTTCCCGTGCGCCAAGCTGCATTTCTGCACCGCGATCAGCACCGGGCTCCTTCCTTCCTCCCTCCGTCCCTGCGTCCGCCGCTCCGCGCGAGCGGCACGGGCTGATCCCCGCGTGCCAGAACGTGGTATCTGCACCCGCAATGCTCCGGCAGGACGACGTGGTCCCGTTCCCGTTCCCAATATAGCCCTAAAGCCACCACGTGCTTGGCTTCCACTTTACTACAAAGCATTTTTTCCAGGAAATGAAAGTTTCCACCGGGATGAAATCTTTAAAATTATAGAAGTTGCCCAAGGAAATTTATGTGCGTTTGTTCTCTGAAGAGAATAGATGTGTGAGGTGAGTTTTATTAATACTTTTTATTTTAGATAGCTGATAGTCACACAAGGAACTGGCATTTTTTGGCATTCTGAGATAGAGAACGATTCCAGGAATTGGACAAAGAAGGCAGTGTAAAGGCTATTACTGTCACACGGAGAATACATGCCGTCACAGTAGTTTGTGGTACTTATATTTCTATAGAAATTAGGCTGATGTAACAACAGTCATGGGAACTGTTACATGGGAAATCTCCTTAGAATCCAGATGAGAAACCCCGACGGAATTAAATAAAGGCATCTCCAACAGGAAAAGATTGTTTCTGTATTGCTACTTGATTGACTGAAAATGTTTTTCATTTAGATCAGCTAAACTCTATAGGGACAACTATACTGTTCAGTAATTTGCATGTAAATGAGGATACATAACACTGCAGAATTATTTTATTCTGGGTGCCCACGATTCTAAATTATGTCAAAACTGCTGTGTGAAGATGGGCTCATACATGGCAGCTTTTTAACAGAACACATTTGGGAACTGGGGCAGCTTTAATTTTCGCTGCACAGTAAAAATCTTTTCAAGCATAAAAAGAGGTGGACAGGCCACACTTTAAACAATGGACCCAGTAAAGCACAAGCGCAAATATTTAATGAGATTGAAGGTGGTCATAATAGCGCAAAGCCTTAAAAAGAAGGCATTTAATGTGGAGGCCACTTCATTATTTAGAGAGAGGCACTGCAAACGAGGAGCATGCAGGATTTGTATCAAATCTGAATGATTTACTGCAGGTAAAACCTGGCAAAGTTTGCAAACGAGCAGAAACTGGAGCTGCTGTGACAGTGCTCTGGGCAGCCCACTGTGGAGGGCCAGCCTGCCTTCACCCACTTACTGCTGGTGATTTTTGGCTGAGTTATTTTGTTGACATTTTTGTGAATGTGGAAAGTGCTAACACCTTGCCTTTTCACCAGGCTCGTGGCAAAGCAAGAAAGGAAAAAAAAGATCCCCCCTGAGGCAGTTTTAGGATCAACAAAAAAATTCAGAACAACATGGTCAGCAACACAGTTTTTTGCTTAGTGAGAAGAAATTCAAGGTCTTCTAAAACCCTGGGAGCTTGGATAAATAGCCTTGCCTTACTCCCCAACAGTTTTCACTCCCATCGGGTTAGCAGTGTTTTTCTATTTTCCCATAAAAATAATAATAAAGTGTGTCCAAGAGTAAATTAAGGAGAGGTTGTGTGTGAAAGAGGTGTTCCAGCTAACTCCAGCAGACATCTGCATGAAGGATGATTTCAAGCAGAGAACTGCTCTTGCTCCCCATGAGACATGGTTGGACACCAGTGAAATACACCTGACCTCGAGGAACGTGGCTTTAGGGACAGCCCTGATGGCAAGCTGGGAAGCCCTCTGGGCACTCATCTCTGTGCTGCTGTCTGTCCCACCTGGTCCTTCCTGCTGCAACACAAGTGCTTTCACCATTGTCCATCTTTGTTCTTTTTCCCATCCCAAAGATATTTAATCAGCGGCTCTGCTATGGGATATTCCTTGTGCAGCTGGCTTCCTAGCAAGACCCAAGTGTTGGTGACTGCTATGAAGCAACCATTGCACAGCTAAACAGATGACTGCCACAAAGTAGCGTGTCCTCAATCTCATGCCCATCTCTCTACTACTTTCAAAGATCCCTGAGATTTCTCTGCTGTTACTGGAGAGGCTCCATTTGCCTTTAGGAAGAAAGAGAGGATGGGGTCATGCATAACTTCACCCTCAGAAAATTCTAGACAACCGCAAGTGACATCTTATTCATCCTCATCAAACCCCATTGGTAAATTGAGCTCCAGAAAACAGCTCATTAATTTAATCCAACTCTGTTCAAACAGTTGTGCGAGGTGATATTCTAACCTTTTAAATAACTAAGAAACACCAAGACACAATAAAGCTATACAAATAAATATTACATGAATGCCCCGAAACCTTGGTCTGTAGCATGCCTGGAAGCTACTTATATAATGCATAGACAAAGGCTGCTACCCAAGAACTCTGCCTTCTCTCCTTCAACCTTGTAGTTGCCCTTATGTGACACAGAAGTATTTGCGGATGCAGTAAAGTGTTAGGAGACACCTGGCCCAGAAGTGTTCACTTTCCTCATTCTCAGCTTTTGTGTAAGGCCGTGGTCACTTGGCACCTAACACCTTTCGGGCCAGGCAGGACAACTTTGGGGCGGGCAGAAAGGTGCCTGGATGGATGCGCTTCTGTGCAGCCAGCACCATCTATGAATGGCAAGTTTGCCATCTATTAAACCTACACCAGATGACAAGACTATAGGGTCTAAGCACCATCCGTTGAGACCAATTCTCTCCTGTTTTGCTAGTTGTATTTAGTAACTAAGGGCAAAAGACAAAAAGCATGAATACACTTGACCTCTCATGGAAGTAGACTCACAAACATCTGTGCCCAGCAGCCAGGTATGTCTTAAAATGAAGAGCATTTGAGACTGTATTTCTTAGCTTATGTGCTCTTCTCCATCCAAGCATTGGAAGATCAGTCACACAAGTCACCAGCAGATAATCTGCTACTGTGCTCTCTCTTCCAGGAGGGAGCAGGGCCCATGCTGATGCCTTCATGCTAGTACAGCTGCCACCCACGGCCATTCCTGGAGACAAGCAGCCTGTGGGTAGCAGCTCAAATAATACAAAGCCATAAAAGCTGTCCATTGTGGCCCTAGCTGCCTTGCCTGGAGTTAAAAGTCCAGTCTAAGTGTTGCTAAAATTACATAGGCCAAGATTTGAAAAAGTTTCCAGTAACTTTTCAAACTTTCCCTGAGAAATCTTAAGAGAACCTATTTCAGAACATCTGCTGAAATGCAGGTCTGTTTATATGCTGCAGATTAGAAACTCAAAAATGGAGACGGTCTGGTTTATTTCTTTGCCTTTGAAATCAAAAGGGCTTTTCCAAGCCTCCCCAAAACCCAGAATCCAATGATCTCCCATCTCGGTAGCAACCAGACAGATCTGTGTTAAGCTCATCTGGTGATGCTGAGAATCACATAAGGACACAAACACCTCTTCAAAAGCTAATGCTCTAAAATGTGCTCTGTCAGCTCCATCAGCTCAGATACTGTGGTAATCTCAGTGGAGTTACGCCTCCCGGAAGACTCAATTCAGCGTTTGGTACATATTAAGTTGATACCTTCATGGAAAGGACCATTTCTTTCTTTTTTTTTGGGGGGGGGGACGGACACAAATCAATAGTACAATAGAGTCCTCTTTCGTCATGAGATTACATTCATATAAAATAAATTACAGTAGCAGGGTAGAAGGGTCAGTGGAATTAATAAGATAACTTCAACTTCACCTGGCCACATATTTTGGCCTTCTCCCAAAGCTATTGGGAGCATATAAAGAGAAACCAGAACAGCTAACAAAGCTGATTTAATAAGTTTTGCAAGAAAACAGAAAAAATAATCAAGCAGGAAGCCCAGGGACATGTTGACTTATCTCTAGACATGCTGAGGTGTTGGATTTACAAGTTTCTTCTACATTTGACCACAGCTGAGACTGTACGTTCATGCCCAGCGCTTATGGTTCCTTAATGTGTCTGTACGGCAATGGGCTCCTTGCCAACTAGCTTTTAACTCCAGCTCACATTTTCTGGATAGATTAGATAACAATCCTGCTTTGCAGAAGACACAACATCTTTCACATTGCATCACTGAATGAGCATCTGTTACTATAGTGCCTCAGAGTTATTTCTTAGAGGACCAGAGAACTGCCAAGTGAGCTCACCCACCCAGGCCATTTAATTTTCAACATCCATTTTTTAAAAGGCAGGAAGCTGGCAAATAAAAAGAAATGCCAGCAGAGCTCAAAGCCTCCCTGTCACCTCAGGCCCCAATCCTACAAGAAAAAAAAAAAAAAGATATTTTCTGTGAAGGGCTGAATGTCCTCATGGTTTGCTGAGCTTTCTGAGCTGGGAAAGCCTCAGCAGGCTGCAGAACTGTTTTTCTTACAGCAAAAAGGGGGACATCCATAGCTCATCTACCGATGACTTGCTCATTTGGTTCACATTTTTATCCTCTAAGAAATACAGCAACTCTTTCTTCAATAATTGCTCTAACTTGAAGCTTGTTTCATGATGAGGTAAGTCTAGGAAGAGTCTAGTGTCTACAAATGGTGTTTCTGTTACTCAGCTGTCTAGAGACCACTCTCAAGGCTGGTCTTCCTCATCTGAAGAGAGTAAAAATTGGTGTACCACAGTGCTAAATAAACAAAGGTGTGAACATCAGCCTCAAAACTGTCAACAAAACAGAGAATTCTCATACTCACGTAGATTCTCATACAAAGAGCTCTCTCTCTTTGAATTTACAGCGTGTGACTGTGTTTGCTAAACATGGCTAGAGGGAATGCCCAGATAGGTGAGGAAAAACATTCAATCCAAAGCTTGAAAGTGAAGAAGCCGTCTGGCTTTGAAGAAAAAAACTACTTCTCAATTTACTGATAATCTGACACCGCGGCTAGGCTCCATCTCACTTGCTTTTCTCTTCAGGAAATATCTTGCTTAATATACATTAGAATCTCATTTTCTTTTCTCCTCTGCCCTGATCTAAACCAAAGGTGGCGTCTATTCAGTCTGAGCGGGTTGCATCTCACCCAACTTTAGCCACTTTAGCAATATAGACATCGGTAGCTGAGTTAATGAGCTTGGGCTCCTCTTTTAGGTAAAGAGCAGATTTCTGCACTTTGGCCAGACAAATTTATCTGACCTATTTTAGATCTCTGAGATGAAAAACAAGTGACTAGATGTTCATTGCTTTAAAGACTGTTGAGGGTGGTGAGCTTCAGATGTTTACCTATGGAGATCAATTCCCACTGGATCAAGCTGGAGTGGGTCTAGGACGCAAAAAGGCATGACTGGACATATTGCCCTGCTTGTTCAGAAGTTATTTCTAAAACAGTAGGTCATGCTTTTACAAGGCACTTCACACTGAGGTCCTAATGGCATCAGCTGTAATACTTTTATTTGCAGCCTTACTGAGTATTTTTGCAATGGTGTTGCTTTGCAATAAAGATCTTGGAAATATGAAAAAGGTTTGAAGGCTGTTGATCATCCACTCATCTATCCTGAGCTTTATTTGCACTGGATACTAAACCCTTCTGGGAACTACATTTGTGCTGTAAGAAGTGCCCTCCTCAAGCAGCTAGACAGAAGACCAAAGGTGAAATGCAAACAAGCAGAAAGCTGTGGGAGAAAGGCAATCTTGAGATTGAAAGATTTGCACTGAATCATTTTAAAAGCATTTTTTTTTTTTTTTAGCCACTGGACAATGTCATATTTTCAAATGCTAAAAGGAACCAACTTAAAAAATGTTCCTACGAGAAAGGAAAATTCTTATGAAATCCAAGATTTTCCTGCAGACAGCTCTGAAGAGAAAGTCTCAACAGAAGTCATGAACTTGTCTCATGCTGCAGTAGACACTAGTCATTGTAGGAGTTAGCCCATTGTCCTCCCACGTTCTCTAGGATGGTGGGTTTGGGTTTCCACTGCAGATTGAGTACCATGTAAATAAATTACAGCAAACTCCAATAACATTTAGAAGGAAACAAGAGTGTGAATCACATACAAAATTTATAAAGTACTCACCAGGTCGCCTGTCCCAGGTTTTTCCATAATAACTGGGGGGAGCAGTAACCCTGCAGGAGAAGTAGGGTCTGGGTTGAGTGCCCCGATGCCTCCTCCTATCAGGGAAACCACACCATTGCAATCCACTGAGCTGTTCCTTTTGCCCGTCTGGATGCAGTTGGGAGTAGCAGGGTGAGAACTATGGCTCACTTGACTTTGCACGCTCGGACGCCTCCCAGATCTTGGAATTAAGAGAGAGCCTCGGTGGCTTTCATTCTCCCCAGCAGTGCTGATCTCATCATCGGCAAAATCTGTTTCGGAGCCAGTGTCTTTGCCACGGAGTCGGAAACTGAATACGCTTCCGTGGCTGGTTCTGCGCTTCACCAAGTTTGCACTGGGACCATAACTAATGCCAAGGAGAGTCTAGAAACCCCCAGAAAGGAAAAAGGGGAAAGAGAAACAACATTTTGCAAAACGTTTTCAGGAGCAAGGAAGGTCTGGGGAGAGCAGTAAGTTCCATTTTAAACCAAGTGTTTCAGAAAGAAAGATTTAATAACATGTATTCAACCTTTGCAAAATTAAGAGGTTGAATAATCTTTCCTAGCCATAAGGTTTTTTGTCTATACATGACAGCTAAAGATGTACTGAAATAGGAGAGGTCAAGGTGGCATTCGCCTCACAGAGTGGTACTTCCTTCGCTTCTACTCCCTCCCCATCTGGTAAGTGCCAAAGGATGTGGGAAGGCAGCATAAGGAGTAGAAGACAGGAGCAGGGAAAGGGATCCAGCTCCAGTTTACTACTTCATCAGACATCTTCATAACAGCTAGGGAAGGAACGTTGCAGTGGGAGAACAAGAGATAAAGAAATAGGGCAGGAAATGAACTTCAGGGAAAATGAGAAGAAGAGGGAAGAAGAAGCAGAACACGACGGAAGAACGTGATAAAGGAAAAAAAAAAAAGAAGAGCAAGAAGAGGGATATGATTTATTAGTCTGTAAAATGATTAGCCCAATGCATATGTCTGCTTTAAGGGTAGGTAACCTCAGTACACAGCAGTCTCTCTTACATCTAAATATTAGCCTTGACGATCCACTCTGATGTCTGCTAATGAGAGTGAAATTCTGGTGGAGCATCAGCAAGATGTAGCTAAGCACTAAATACACATATACTCTGATAGAGTGAAAAGGATGTTCAGAAAATGCATAAAGAATTCAAGTCTATCCCCTTCCCTCATAGCTGTGAAGAGGAAAATCATGGAATAAGAGCATTTAGGCAGAACATACTTTTGATTTTATGGCCTGTACAAAATTTTCAGCTTCTTCAGAACTCTTTGATGAGCCAGACATATATATGAAGACAGGTCAGATCTCCATAGTATCCACAAACCAGCCAAATGAGTCTGATTTCATTTTGCACTGTATCTCGCACCACTAAACTATGTAATGATACTATTTTGTGGCACAGGTACAAGGAAGAGTACAAAACCCAGGTCCATTCTAACTAAAAACAACTCACTTGGACTGTTACCAAATTTAACTGGTCAAAAAATCCATGCCTGGCTTTCCATGACACAGCCATTGAGACTGATTCCTGATGGCAACACACTTACAGCTGCTCAGATTGCATCTGAATGATGACTCAGCCTTACTCCCTCCAACCATGCCAGACACAGCCTTACAAAGAAGATTTACTATAAGCTTTGAAATGTGTCTCCTGTGTCTCTCATGCATATGACATCCAGGGGCGAAAAGTGAAAACAAGAAATATTAATCTACAAAACAAACTTGCAATGCAGAGCTCCAGTTCTGGTATGTGGTGCCTTCAGACCCATCCAGAGTGAAGCTAAAGAGCAATTCTAGCTTTAACAAAGGTATAATTAATAATGCAACAGAGTCACCCAATAAAACAACAACAAAACCTATTAAAAAACATGTAAAAATACATGTCACTTCAGAAATCCAGCTCTATGTAAATTTTGTGAGCTGGGGAGTCATTGAATTGGTCACATTTACTTACATCACTTGCATGTTTTTTCATGAGCTTTTTATGGCTGCCAAATATCCCTAAATTCACTGACAACAAAATATTAAAAGACTTAGCCCATTACATGGCTATTCATAAAAAAACAAATAAAATGATTTAAACTTTGCCCTCAGTTACGCAAAGACAAATTATCTGAGGCTGTTTATGATCATTTGATACATAATGTGCAAATTCATATTCATGCATGTCAATAACATTTATTTAAACCCTATTTAACAACAGCCTCACTCCATTTTTTCCCCTGAAATACAAAGTAGAAACAAGTGCCACAAAGTTTTGACTTGAAGGCAACTAGCTAAGGAATAGAAAAATGTTAATATCTTCTTTGTATATAATTAAAAGTGCCCTCAGAGACAAGCTTCCCCCTTTCTCCTCCTCCTTTTCCTTTTCAAGCTTTGCATGTTTCTTCTAGGAATATTTTGGACCTGATAGGGATAGGACAGGTATAGCCAGATGAGTGAAATTAGCATAAGAAAATAAATCAGGTTGTGGGTAATCTTGAAGTGAAAAAAAAATAAAAATAAAACAGATTCATAAGAATGTTTAATGGATATTTTTAATTCATTTTGATAATAATGTGCTAGTGTGTTTCCATCTAACACAGAATGTCTGCAGTCATAATGTCAAATGTCTGGTTCTTCTTTACAGCTGGAAATTTCATCTTTAATGGCCTGTTCAGAGCTTGGCCTATGCAGCAAAGTGCACAGCAAAGTAAGTGACATTTCAGACCATGACTTACCATTCTTCTCTGACCTTCATCGTATTCAGACTTGGGATTCCTTTGGTCTTCCCCATACTCTTCTGCTCCCAGAGACTTCTTTTTCTTTCGCCTATTTCTTCTTTCTTTAGCATTTTTGGATGCTAAAGGTGACATTTCCAATGAGCTAAGTGACATTGAATCAATTCCTTTAGCAGCTAGTGCCTAAAAGAAAAGATGGTGGGAGGTGCAAGATGTATCATTTGGGTTTAGGATGACAGTGAGTACTAATGATTATTCTGTTCAGCAGTTATTTTTCATGATAAGTTTTAGGTTGTATAGGAGATAAATTAAAAATTCTAAGTGGTCATTCGTCATAAAATTATCTCATGTGGCTGGAACTTGGCTTAATGTTTCTAACCTCTCCACTTAGCCATGAGGAGAATATGCAGTAAGTCAGAGCAAGCCAAGTTCCTAGTGTAAATAGACACGTGCAGATCATGCTACAATCCAGATCTACTCCAAACCTATGAAGGAGCATTAGGAATGGCCATATAAAATCTTCCGATTTATGTAGACCTGAAGGACAAGGTTCTCCCGAATTTTACTAGAGGAACAGCCTGTGTGTGCACATCTGCATGTGTGCCCTGCACTCCTACTCCCCAGAATAACACTTCGGTTTCCGGTTAGAAAGTTCTTGACTTAGAGAACAAAGTTAACCTCCTTGTGAACTTCAGCCCCTCAAACTGAGAAAATTGGACAGGAATGAAGCCATGCTCCTGCTATATCCCTCCTACCACAAAGGGATACTGGTAACTGCAGGCAGTTCAGCTTACACTTTTTTGTAAATGCTTAACCCAAGCAGCAGCACAGACAGATATGATCAGAGATCAAGGAGAAAACCATGGGCTTAACTGGAGGTAAGGTGGACTTTGCCAGCCATGTGCTTCAGAGCTGTGCTGGCTATCTTACAGGATCGCTGCAGGAACTCACTGATAAGGACAATCTGCTGGAAACCCAGCAGAAGCCAAATTCAAAAGCCTGAGCATGGAAAGGAAGAGGCTTGAAAGCAAATGAACAGCCAAAAGGAGGAACTCATATACTCAGGGAGGAAGCCGTAGCCTACACTAGTGTGTTGGATGACCGTTCAGGGTATAGGTGGGAGGAAAGTGAGGGCTCCTCTATCAGGCTGTCTCTGAGCACAAAGAACTAGGTCAGGTTTGGAGAAATAACCACTTCAGACCCAGAGACAGGTCCATTTCAGAGCCCCAATTCAGAAAGCATAAAGTGATTGAATTTATAGATATATAAACCTCTCCAGATTCCCAAGAACAGAAGAAACCCATGAATCCTCAGTGCTATTGTCTGTAAGCTGCTAGAATCAAACAGGCAATCATCTCTCCGCAACAAAATACTCCCTTCCTCCCACAGGCATCAGTCCAAGGAAAGTGAAGGCACTTAGCAGCCGTGTAAAGAATCAATCATGTATTTCAAGGAGGAGCGGTAGCTCTATCAAGCTGAGAGAGAAGCAAAACTTAATTCCTGGGGGAAATACCTTTCATGAGCAAGCTGCTTAGAGCAGGGAAGGAGGGTTCAGACGCTGGTCTAGGCTATTGTTCTTTTTTTGAGTCAATTGATTTAATTGCTCTGCTGAAGTGTTTTCTCCTCATAAACATTCAGCTAGTCTTTTGGTGTTAAGTTCAGGTTTAGGAATGTGTTGGAGCAATTGTACAAATTGACTGACTGTCTCCAAGCAGGCCTATCAATTATATTTGTGTTCCCTTTGAACTGCACAGTGTAAAAGCTGATCAAACAACTTTCAGTTTTTCCTTTTGATTGCCATCATATTTTATATATCTAGAAAATACTGTAGATTGTGCTGTTTGGCTTGTATCTCTCACTGTTAATCAAGAAAATTTTAATTTTCTTAGCATTTTCTTCCTCGTTGTTTGGGTTGAAAAGTTTCTACCCTTGTTTACTTGTTAAAAAAAA